TCAAATACCTGCGCATATCACTCAAGAAGGAAGTCGAGGTATTCTTAAAGGAGATATACCTTGCAACTTTAGACAAGCGAAGTGCTCCTGCATTTCAGAAGCAATACATTTTGACAATATTCGGAAGGCTTGCTGCAGACCCCCGGGCACTGGTAGAGATCTATCTCAACTATGATTGCGACCGCACCGCACTTGACAACATGTTCCAGCGCGTCGTTGAACACCTGTCCAAGATATCCAGCAACCCTGTCACCATCACAGCCGTGCAGCAGCAAGCGTATCAAGATCAGCGAGAGAAGCAATCGAGACAGATGGACTGGCAGAGCCGGGGTACATTACCACCATCACTCACGACTGTATCTATGAATTCATCGCACGACACAGAGCATGGCTATCCGCAGGAGTACGCCATGAAACAGGAGTCTCTCGAAGCCCTGGTCGAGATCCTCCGATCTCTTGTCAACTGGGCTCAGCAAGCCCTGCCTGAGAACACCAAGCAAAACAACCCCGATATGCGACCATCACTCGACGACCTCCGAGTATCGACAGACACTAGGTTCGCCGCAGAGTCTCCAATGGTGGGAGCAGACTCCGGGACTGTCACGCCGCTTGCTGAGGACGACTACAGCCAACTTGAGAAGGCAAAACAGAGAAAGACCGCGCTCACAAACGCGTTGCGGCAGTTCAACTACAAGCCGAAGCGTGGGTTGAAGGCGTTGATTGCAGAGGGTTTTATTCCCTCGAACAAGCCTGAGGACATCGCTCGCTTCTTCCTCGACAATGACCAGGTCGACAAAACAGCACTGGGAGAGTTTCTTGGAGAGGGTGATCCAGAGAATATTGCGATTATGCATGCTTTTGTGGATTGGATGGACTTCACTAAAACCCGCTTTACAGACGCCCTGCGGCGCTTCCTTCAAAGCTTTCGCTTACCTGGTGAAGGTCAAAAGATCGATCGCTTCATGCTCAAGTTTGCTGAACGGTACATCACCGGTAACCCCAACGCGTTCGCTAATGCCGATACTGCATATGTTCTTGCATATTCCGTCATCATGTTGAACGTCGATCAACATAGCAAGAAAATGAAAGGCCCTCGTATGACACCACAGGAGTTCATTAAGAACAATCGTGGTATCAACGACTCAGCTGATCTGCCGGATGAGTACCTACAGGCTATTTACGATGAGATCGCCCAAAATGAGATCGTACTGAACACTGAGCAAGAGGCTGCTGCAGACAAGGGGTTATTGAACCAACAACCTGCGGGAGGATTGTCTAGCATTGGACAAGTCCTGACGGGTGGTGCCCGCGACCTACAGCGAGAGGCGATTGTGCAAGCCTCTGAAGCAATGGCTAACAAGACCGAGCAACTTTACAAGCAGCTCCTTCGGGCTCAGCGAAGAACAGCTGCGGCCCTTCCAGTCTCCAAATTCATACCTGCGTCATCTTCCAAGCATGTCGGACCCATGTTCGAAGTCAGCTGGATGCCAATCCTGACTGCGCTCTCTGGCCAAGCTCAAGACCACAACATTGAAATCGTTCGCCTATGTATCGAAGGCATCAAGCTAGCAATCCGGATATCGTGCTTGTTCGACCTCGATAGCTCACGACAGGCTTTCGTGGCTTTCCTCTCGCGATTCACCAACCTCTACAATGTGAGCGAGATGAAAGTTAGGAACATGGAAGCGTTGAAAGCCCTGATCGAAATCGCCCAGACCGAGGGTAACCTTCTACGAGAATCCTGGCGTGAGGTTCTCACATGTGTTTCACAGTTGGACCGTTTCCAACTCATCTCTTCTGGTATCGATGAACGTGCCGTGCCCGACGTGCTCAAGTCAAATTCAGGCACGGCACAGTCGCGTAAGAATCTCAACGTTCCGGCCAATCGTCAAAGACCTAAATCACAAGCGAGCACCATGAGCTTCCATTCCGAAGTAGCTGAGGAGAGTCGGTCCACCGACATCGTCCGAGGAGTGGACCGCATCTTTACCAATAGTGCGAACCTGTCTGGTGAGGCTATCGTAGACTTTGTGAAAGCGCTTGTTCAAGTCAGCTGGCAAGAGATCCAGTCGTCTGGGCAAAGTGAGTCACCTCGCACTTACAGTCTGCAGAAGCTCGTGGAGATCAGTGGTTACAACATGACGCGTGTTCGTTTTGAGTGGACCAACATCTGGCAGGTGCTTGGCGCTCACTTCAATGAGGTCGGATGCCACACCAACACTAATGTCGTCTACTTTGCTCTCAACTCACTACGGCAACTTTCGATGAAGTTCATGGAAATTGAAGAACTGCCTGGTTTCAAGTTCCAGAAGGATTTCCTCAAACCCTTCGAGCACATCATTAACAACACAAATGTCGTCTCAGTCAAGGATATGGTACTACGTTGCTTGATTCAGATGATACAAGCGCGAGGTGAGAATATTCGATCTGGCTGGAAGACGATGTTCGGGGTCTTCACTGTGGCTGCCAGGGAACCGTACGGTATGTTATTCCTTCATTCTAGTCTGTACAGCTGTTGATACATAGCAGAGGGTATCGTCAACCTCGCATTCGAGAACGTCACTCATGTATACAATACTCGCTTTGGCGTAGTTATTTCGCAAGGCGCGTTCGCAGACTTTATTGTTTGTCTCACGGAATTCTCAAAGAACTTCAAGTTCCAGAAGAAATCGCTACAAGCAATAGAACTGCTCAAGTCGTCCGTGCCCAAGATGTTACGGACACCCGAGTGCTCTCTATCCGCCCGTGCTGGGTATTTGAAGGATTCAGAAAAGGGCTCTTCGATACCTAAGCAACCTAGCCGACAAACGCAGGAAGAGCAGTTCTGGTTCCCAGTTCTCTTCGCCTTCCACGACGTCCTGATGACTGGTGAGGATCTAGAGGTCCGATCAAGGGCGTTGCAATACCTGTTCGATACTCTGATCAGCTATGGTGGCGACTTTCCACGGGATTTCTGGGACATGCTTTGGCGACAGCTTCTGTACCCCATATTCATGGTGCTGAAGTCAAAGTCGGAGATGACAAAGGTTCTGAATCATGAGGAGCTTTCAGTATGGCTCTCGACTACTATGATCCAAGCTCTTCGCAACATGATCAAACTTTTTACCCACTTTTTCGATTCACTGGAGTACATGCTCGATCGGTTCCTGGATCTCCTTGCCCTCTGTATATGTCAAGAGAACGACACCCTAGCGCGCATCGGCAGCAACTGTTTGCAACAGTTGATTTTGCAAAACGTTCAGAAATTCCAGGCTGATCATTGGAGTCAAATCGTCAAGGCGTTTGTCGACCTCTTCCAAAGGACTGAAGCGACAGCACTGTTCTCTGCTGCGACCGGCGGCTCATCTGCACAGACGAATTCGACCAACGGTACTGGTAAGACATCAGATTTGACAACTCCCACTAGTGACGGACCACCTGGCGAACTCTCGCTCCAAACACCTGCTGAAGAACCGAAAATGGACAACGCGCTTGGAATTAATGGCCTATCTGGCGCAAGACGACCATCCCTAGTGACCTCAGACTCTGCGAGCATCAGTGGCGGCGTTGAGCAGCGTATGCCATCGCCGCTGCCCAAGCGCCAGACTCAGGAATTGGAAGACTACCGTCCCGACGATCAGACCCTCCAGCAACCACCCGTGGTCGTCACCGCCGCTCGCCGTCGCTTCTTCAACCAGATCATCACGAAATGCGTCCTACAACTTCTCATGATCGAGACGGTACAAGAGCTCTTCACAAATGAGGCTGTCTACGAGAAGATTCCTTCTGGTGAACTCCTCCGCCTTATGGCCGTACTGAAGAAGTCGTACCACTTCGCTAAGCGCTTCAATGCGAATCGTGATCTGCGATCACGTTTGTTTAGGGAAGGTTTCATGAAGCAACCGCCAAACCTGCTCAAGCAGGAGAGCGGATCGGCGTCGGTGTACGTTAGCATTCTATTTAGAATGTACCACGACACATCCAACGACCGCGCCGCCTCACGCGCCGATACCGAAGCCGCCCTGATCCCGCTCTGCGAGGACATCATTGCCTCCTATGTCGATCTTGACGAGGAAACACAACAACGCAACATCGTCACTTGGCGCCCCGTTGTCGTCACCGTGCTGGACGGATACACTGGATTGCCCGACACTGATTTCGAAAAGAACATCGACCTCTTTGCGCCGCTCGTCGTTGGGCTTCTAGGTACGGAAATGGCACCCGATGTACAAAGAAGCGTGCAAGCGCTTGTCGGACGCATCTTTGAGAGGAAGCTGGGTATGGAGAAGCAGCCCCTCATGCCGGCAATTAGCCGGAGTCCACGAGGCAGCTTTGTGGGCAGCCCTAGCCAGAGGAGGGCCAGCAAAAGTGGACGGTAGAGTGACTCTTCACTCTGTGCTCCTGTAGTTTCTTCCTAAGGTTCGATAACTCGACACCTGTTGATTCATATTCTGTTCTTTTGGGTCTGACTCTGCAGGCCATGGTTACTTGTTGGCTCAGCACCTCTCTATTCTCTTTCTGGCTCTAAAGCATTGCCGCCGAGGTTAAGCTTTCTTCAAAGGGCGTTGTTAGGCGCGAATTTTGGTTGTGTTGTACAGTAGCACGATATCAAAAACCGCATCATCTTCTCAAATTTCTTCCGCAGTTTTACATTAGAGCAAGAGAATCAAAGTAAACAGCATATTTTACAACTTGTCTTTCTGACCCACAACTCTGGTGATCATCTAATCATTTATCTGCGTGATCACCACGATCGGCAGAGCCGCTTCATGCAGGTACGACCGGGGAAAGCTTAAACCCGAAAATGCTCAACGTCATGGAACCTAATTGCCGTTGCTGTTAGCATGTACCACCCGGCATCCACGTAAGGAGCGTGTAAGGTATGACGTTCGTTAATGGCTGACATCACGATGCAGAAGCGGGAGGAAGCTGTAAATGCTTGTTTATATATGAAGCTTGTCCCATGTCCACTGTTGAAGAAAGCCACCGCATTACAGCACTAAGAGAATATCACGTGGAAGATGCGATCCTCAATCCTCTCAGTCGTTGCCTTGACAGCAAGTGCAGCTGCGCAAGTCACTTTTCAAAACAGCAGCGATTCAATTCTGCGAGTCGATACAGGGTCATACGGCCCGGAGATAGAAGAGTACCACTACTACTACTCGCAATGGCCCATAGGTCTCGCCATTTCATCCGCCGGCCGTTTCTTTGCGACCTACACACGCGGCAGCTACGCCTATACACTCGGCGAAGTCGTCAACAAAACTGCCGAAGTACCATATCCATCCGCGAGCCTCAATCTTCCTGTTTCACAGCTGAACACGAGCTGGAATGGCATCCCTTTTGGTAGTGGGAACAGCACAGGGCTGATCAGCGTACAAGCCCTGTACATCACTCCAGAAAATGACAGAAGACCTGAGACACTCTGGGTAGTAGACACAGGTAAGAAATGTTTCTGTACTAACTACACGTGAGATATACACTGACTCCGTAAATGTAACTTTTAGGACGACCCACCATTATGGACGCAACTGGCGCACCATCGATGCCATACGCGCAACCCGGCGGACCCAAGATCCTCGGTATCAACTTAGCAAACGACAGCGTTTACGCGACTTACACTTTTCCACCTAGCGTCCACTTCCCGGACTCCTACATGAACGACATCCGCTTTGACTTGCGCCCAAACACCACGGCGTCCGGATCAGGCGTCGCTTACATTGTCGACAGCAGCGACGAAGGACGACCTGGGTTCATCATCCTAGACCTAGGTACTGGTAAAAGTTGGAGAAGACTCACGCAACACCCATCTACACTGCGCGTAGATCGCGACGTACCTTCTTACCAAGGCAACCCGTTCTACCAACGTACAACCGGTCAGCCTATCCAAACGCTACGAGAGGGACTTGACGGAATTCAGATCAGTGCCGATGGCTCGACGATCTACTACAGTCCCTTGACATCAAACTATCTGTACTCTGTCCCTGCCGCAAACCTCCTCACACCCTCTTCGGATCCCCTTGCAGAAATCATGGCCGCGAACAACGTTACGAATCTTGGTCAGCGAGGCGGAAACGCAAATGGCTTCGAAGGCGATAACAACGGTTTGGTCTATCAGTGCATGCCTGAGCACAACGCAATTTATGTTTATAACCCGGAAACACTGCGTACAGAGCCTTTTGTGAGAGATCCACGTATCATCTGGCCGGATGGAGCGTCGATCGGTGAGGACGGCTACCTTTACATGAACATCAATCAGTTGCCGTATCAGCCAAATTGGAATGAGGGTGTTGATGAGAGAACTTTTCCAGGAGCGGTATTGAGGGTTAAGTTACCGAATGGGGGAAAGAAGATCATGACCTTAGGTTGAAGGTTGGGTTGAAGGTTCAGTGTGCAGGGCTGAGAGGCATGGGATCAAGTGAGTTAAATCATACAATATTACGTCACTAGTCATAAGAAACATTATACAGAAACCCGATGTGATGATGATATTTCTATTCGTTCATCTTTCCGAACTCATGCGTCGTCAACTACATGTCTGCACAGCGAAGACACTGTATCTACGAATACCATATACAGTTGGACTGGTTCATCCATGAGATAGAGAAAGAAACTTTTGCCCAAACCCAGTAGGTATCATAGCGATGACCGTAGAAATATAATAGTCCTTCAACGCCGCCAAATGCAAAAATATCCCATCGACATACTTCAGATCATCTCCATAGTGTGAAATAGACGTTGTGAATACACAGGAACTGAGTAGAGAAATCATCTCTACTCGTCCTGCTTGATCTCAAGCTTGCTCTTCTTGGGGCTGCCCTGGGGCTCGCCGTCATCGGCCTTGCGCTTGTTGGAGGTGTCCTTGACGATGGGAACACCGTGAGCGTCGCGCTCAATCTCCTTCTTGTCCTCCTTGTGGCTGGCGCGGTCGTCCTTGCCATCCTTGAAGCGGTCGCGACGCTTGTTCCAGTCGTCAGCGTCGACAGAGCCGTTTGAAGCGCTGCGATCGCGGCGCCTACGGGGAGAGCGGGATCGGTTGCGGTCACGGCGGTTGTCGCGACGGTCATTGCCACCACGTCCACCGCGTCCACCGCGACCCTGTCCACGACCTCCACGACCTCCTCCACGGCCGCTGCGGCTGAAGTCGCCGTTGGCCTCGCGTTGTGCCTTGCGCTGCTGGTACTTCTCTTCCTCGGTCAGCTCCCAGTCGGGCTTGATGCCCTTCTCCTGGCATTTCATGACAATGTACTCCTTCTTGCCCATGGTAACAAGGTCGTTACCGTTGAACTTGGGTGTGGGGTCAAGCTCGAGGAACTGCTTCTGGGAGTCCTCAGAGTCGAACTCGACAAAGACGCTGCCCTTCCAGGCACCGTCATTCTCGCGACGCTTGCGGACCATGACTGCGCCGTAAGGACGGAAAAATTTCTCGAGCGCAATCTGGCCGGCTTGGTCTTCGCTACCGAAGCCCTTAACGTAGGCGCTGCGCTCCATGTTGTTGGATGAGTTGTTCTTCAAGCGGTAAAAGAGCTCCTCTGTGGTAGGTGGGTTCTTCTCGTCGCCTTCCTTAGTGGGGACTGAAAGCGGCTCCTTGCGCTTGACGGCTTCGCTGCCAGCCTTGCTGTACTCGCCATCATCAACGACGTCGAGATCGTTGCTCTCGCGGAGTGCCTTTACAACAGCAGAGTAAGGCTTGAAGTGGCGCATGCGCTTGAAGGTGCAGATGTGGTGGATAGAAACAGGAGTGTTCTTGGGACCTTCGAGCACCTTGAACATGTGCTCGTCGGTTGCCAAGTTCTGTGCAGAGAAGTAAAACTCGACCTTGGAAGTGTTAGTAAGGCGTACAATGGAGAGGAAATCGGGAGTCATACTTGGGCGCGGATCTCGTTGGGATCGTCGGACTCGGGAAGATCGTCAAATTCTTGGTTGTTCTGCCTGCGCAAAGATTAACACTAAAAGACGCAGACTCATATGGCTAGGCGCACCTCTTGTTGCGATTGTCGCGGAAGTTGCCTCGACCACCGCGACCACCTCGACCTCCACGGCCACCGTCGCGACGGTCGTTGCGACGGCCGTTCTTGTCCTCGGACTTGCCATTGACTTCCCACTTCTCCTCGCCGTTTTCGGTCTTGTTGGCCTTCTCCTCAGGCTTGGAGTCGGAGGTTTCAGTCTTGGACTCAGACTGGACGTTGGCTGTGCTCTCAGTCTTGGAGACTTCAGCGGGATTTGCGGCTGGCGCAGCGGTAGTCTGTTGGTCTGCCATGATTAATATGTGTGCAGCTTGAGTCGCGTATGTGATTAGAAGCTGCGAAGGGCGGTTTTAAGTTTGCGACAAAGAGGTTGGAGGTTGTTGGAGAGAAAAAGGCGCCAGGTGAGAGATAGCTATGGTTCTTAGTGGGGAATTTTCGATGCAGCCGGGCACGGACCACTATCCAGATTTACGCTCGCCGCGTGGGCCGCTATTGTAACAATATCACCTATTCTTGATCCGCCTTCACCATGCCGAGGAAGAAGCCGAGGTTCCATTCGCTGAAGAAGCTGGTATGATTTCTATCGCTGAAGCCGGATAGAGTGGCGAGCTGACAGGCTGCAGAACGTCCGCCAGAACTGGTCACGATGGTCATTATACGCTCTATCACAACTTAAGGCTCCAAACGTCGTCAGTCGAACGTATTTCCAGCAGAAATGGACGGCCAAGGCATCTACAAGAGCATACCATGGCGAACACATACGAGAGAAGAAGTGGAAGCACATGTTCAAGCGGAACCTGCCGGCGGTAGTGGCCATGGACCATAGATATCTCGCCCGGCACGATGGTTCAGAACAGGCGGCTGGACGAGGAATGGGTGCAGATTCGCCGGATAAGGCGAGGACACCACCCATGACACCATACATGCAAATGGCATACTACCCATTGGAGAGGAGATTGGACACAGCCATCTTCCGGGCGCTGTTCGCAAGCAGTGTCCGACAGGCCAGACAATTCGTTGTCCACGGCTTAGTCAAGGTCAATGGCAAGAAGGTGCGTCAGTTTCCGTATGTTGAATGTCCTCGCAGCTAACTCGCATGCAGATGGTCTACCCCGGTTACGCACTCAACCCAGGCGACATGTTCCAAGTCGAGCCCTCCTCCGTCATGTTCGCAACTGGTGCTCCAAAAGAACGCTCATCGACTGCACGTCGTATCGCTAAAGAAAAGGCCGCCGCCCGTGCCGAAGCCCGCGAGCAAAGTGGTGGACAGACGCCTAAGCAACAGAAAGATGACGACATCGTTATCTCCTCGTCTACACGCGAAGAACCCACACCCACTGAGCTGAAGAAGCAGCTACAGGACTTGATGGAGCAAGTAGACGGCGTCCTCGCCGAAGACGTCAAAGCCAAAGACAAGCAAAAGTTCCGAGCTTTCCGCCAGAGCGTTAAGAAAGCAATAAGTCTATGGCGCACCGCAAACCCAGAGACCATCTCCACACTTGACACACAATTCGAATTCCTCAAACACCAAATCGCCGAGCGCTCCGCTGCCCTTACATCGTCCTCTCCTAAAGACGCGTCTGTCGCCGAACCCCTCATTTCAGAAGAAGACCAAGCGCGTCTCCGCTCCGCCTTCGAGAAACTCAGACTAGAAACTGAACACACATCGGCGTGGAACAGGCGGGATGCTCAAGCGCCTTACGCGACGCCATGGCGGCCTAGGGACTACATGAGCGCGTTTGCTTTTATCCCGCGGTATCTCGAGGTCAACCAAAACATCTGCGCTGCTGTGTACCTGAGACACCCGGTCGCCAGACCGGGTTTGGCTGAGGTACCGACGCCGTTCCACATTGAGACAGGTCAGTTGGCGTTCAACTGGTACCTGCGGAACCGGTAAAGCGGGCGATTGTGGGGAACGTACTTGTACATTATGTAGATAGGCCGCTCAGAGCGGAGCTGAATTACAATTGTATAACAAAACTGTTGAATAATTGACTAACTGAAGTGTATGGAGATAAGTTGTTGTGTTCTATCTACGGATAAAGTAGTCCTTATATCCCCTAAACCTCTCTTTGTCTTGAAGTTTGACTGTATAGTCGTTTGTCTTAGACAACAATAACCGCCATTTTTTATATTGCAATATCAAGCATGGAGATTGTGTTTGTTCCAATGGATTGATATTACTAAGTTTGCTACTGATGCAAATCTTACGCATGTGGCTGCTACTTTGACCGTGAAAAACGCTCCCTGATTGTATATATCCCCCCTGAGCCTATAGGCCTAGTATTATACATGAGGACGTGAAGATATTAGTGGGTGATGTCCTCTGACCACCCGTTGATCGCGACAAGAGCTTTGCGTCAACATCGCTTCAAACGAAGCTGGTAATGTTACCAAAAACTATGCTTACTGTAGGCCAATCCTTACGCCGAACCGACAAAGCGCTTAAGTTGCGTAGAAAAATGCCAAAGCAGGGAAATCGTCTCAAAGTCGAGGAACATTTGACAAGAGAAACACCAAGAGCTGCTTGCTGCATCTACTCGTGACGCGGGCATGAGTGTGCAGCAAGTGCAATCTCCTGCGTAGACCGAGGGAATATGTCTGCCGACAGGATCAAAACTTCCATTTGGTAGGTACCGGGTATGAATTGCCAAAGACGGGTTAGTGTGCATTTGCGTTTATGAAGATTTACGTCCTCAATCAGCGTCCGACTCTTCGTCAAGGGTCAATATGCTCACTGGGTACCTGAGCGTTTCCGCGCTCGGCCTGGGGCTTACATCGACGACACTACTGTCGGGTGTCCAATGCGAGCTTCGTTCGGACGTGGTAGACGCAGTCGCGTAGTGCCTGAAGCCGTTGGCTACGACGTCTGACGCCTCGAGATCCGAATCATAACTCGGGGGCTCTGTGGGCGTGCCTGAGCGATAGCTTGGTAGGCTCTCTGTTCGGGAAAGTGGCCTAGAGGGAATCTCGGGTAACGAGGTAGGTGGGTAGGTTGATGCTGTGGAGAGGGGCGAGTATGGTGCCCGCGACTGTTGGCGTTGACAATCGCAGGGTGTGCGATTGATGGCCCGTCCTTCTTCAGCATCTCTTACGAGATCATTCACCACGTCATGTGCGGCCCTCAACTGCCTAATTTCTTCCTGCATCGCGTCCTCCAGCACACTCTCCTGTTCTGAGATCAGCGCGCGTTTCTCCTCGTAGTCCGCGATACGCTGGTTGTCTCGTCGAGCCCAGTTGCCGCGCCACCAGCTGCGCCATGCGTGTTGTCGCGCTGCGCGGCGATAAGCGCGAGCGTTGAGGCGTTCTTCTCGAGCGGCGGCGCGCTCAGTCCTTGTTCTCAGGCTGCTACACTTGTGCCGGATTACGGCGACGAGGCAGCCACAGCACAGAACACCCAGAGTGATCTCAAGGGCGAGAAGGTAGGGAGATGTCTTGGATGGCCGGGGTGGAAGTTCATTCTATGCAACATCAGTATCAAACACTTGCTATTCGTCTGCAATAGGGCAGAGCAAGGAGATCACATACCGCTTTCGCCTCGTATACGTGGGGCGTTGGCGATCCAACCTTCAGGTGGTCTCCAGACATCTGTGCTACCTGTGCAGCATGACCATGTGCTTGCGCAAACATTTCCTCAGAACTACCCATGTCTTTCGATTGGTGGCCGGGCTTGAAGTGAAAAGACACAATTTTCCAAGCGCCGTGAGCTTTGTGGGCAATAGTCTTGACGATGCACGAGATGCCGTCACATTCACTCAACTCGTGCGACAATTCCTGCGCTTCTTGCCGAAAGTGGGAATGAATCTGCTTCTTCTTTTCGGCGATGAGAGACTGAATTGCCTCAAGTTCTATCTCAAGGGCTTTCAACTCGCGGATTTTGTCTTCAAGTGACTGGGCCTTGTCCTCTCCTTTGGATGTCTGGTTGGTGGTGGACAGGGCGAGACGCAGAGATTGAGGGGGTTCACGCCAGGATTCAGCTACGTCCTTGTTGCTCGCTGAGGGGTTGGGAATAGCCTCAAGTCTGAGTAGGGAAGGGGGTGATGTTTGCTGCTTGAAGGAGATTGTAAAACCGGAAGGTCTGTCGATGGCCTTGCCGTCGATGGCCTTGATGTTGACCGTCACTACCTGGGCAGCTTCCGTTTCCTCAGTGGCGTGAAGACAAGCCGTCTCCCATTCGAGATCCAAATCGCGCTGCAGAAACCATTCATTCTGTGTGAGATCGGTGAGGCCTTGGTAGGATCCGGAGCCAGATGCGAAGTCACCGTTCCACTCTTGGGGAAGATAAACTCCGTTTAGGGTGATGTTGGAAGAACCACAAGCTTGATCCTGGGCATGACTTGCGAAGCTTAAGATCTAAAAAAGTGAGCAGGTGGCATGGTATTTAGGTGCCTGAAGGTGGCCTTACCAAAGACTCGTCATCCTGGCCCGTGTGATCGTGGCCAAGACATCCAGTGCAGGGGACACTGAAGGTAGCTTGCGCGTAGTTTTGTTGAAGGTCTAGCAAAGTTCAGTAGCTGCCTAGGGATGGCAAATGTGGAATGGTATAAGAAGAATGCGGACCTAGCTGCAAGAGGTTTCCGTCCGGGCGAGTAACTTGACGTTCGTGTTGAGGTATGACGGCGGAGAATGCAGGTGCCGCCCACGCGCACGCTGCCAGCACTTTGGACTTGAAGGAACGCATATCGAAAAGAACGAGGAACACGACTTCAACAAAGCAAAATTTCGAACAGCGTACGAGAACGCCGGCCCGCAAAGAGAGCGAAGTTTGGCTGGTTATGGGACAGATGTTCCCAAAGGTTCGAGGATCAGGCACCAGTCGAAGGGCGTTTTGGAGGACGAGGGCGCGGAGCTGCTAGTGGCTGCCGTCAGCGTGAGCGTGGCTTAGACGTCCGCTCACGATTCAGCTGGCAGCGCTATGCATGATGCAGCGTGATGAAACACGGGGATACGGCAAGTTAGAGTGAGCATGCAAAAGTGCGTATCGTGTAGTGTATGTGATTGTGGTTGTGGTTGTGGTTGTGATGAATGCCATGATTGCCAGATCCCTGTGCGGCCATCTGGTGATGGACGTGTTCATGTGAGCGTGGTATCACATTTGAGGTATCTGTCCTGGCTCGAAGACGATGGATTGCTCAGTGGTTTACCAGCCCTACCAGTTCTATGCAACATGCGCGCATCTGGATGTATCGAGAGGCTGCCGAAGTGGATAGTAATTCGTAGGGCTGCTCCGCCAAGAGTTTATGGTCCAAGCTTTGGCGGCCTGCGATGCAACGAGGGAGATCATGTTCACTAAGCCAACTACGTATTCCGCCCTTGTTCCCACTCACTACTAGGAATATCTTCAGCAGCGTCGCGACATCTCCCTTGCGCCAGACTACTTGGGTTACGTGCCGGGCACAATCGCGAAAACTCATAGCGCGACAATATGGTACGTCACCCAGCTCACCAACAACTGCCGCTTCTTAGTTGACTCCCGACTTAGCTTCCATTGGGCCTTTTGACGGCCGCGACGGGCCATCCCATGCTGGTGGAGCTGAAGAGCGGCGAAACTCTGAACGGGCTGCTTGTCAACTGCGACACATGGATGAACCTGACGTTAAAAGAGGTCGTGCAGACGAGTGCCGACGGCGACAAGTTCATGAGATTACCAGAGATCTATGTTCGCGGTAGCACAGTCAGTTTCCAATCTCCTTCTCTGGTATGCTTTGCTGACGGTTTCCAGATAAAGTACCTCCGAGTGCCGGACGAGATCGTCGACGTCGTAAAGGAACAGCAAGCCAAGGACCAAGCGAATCGCGGCGGCCGAGGAGGTGGCATGCATGGACGTGGAGACCACCGAGGCGACCGTGGCGGGGGCAGAGGCATGAGGGGCCGAGGACGCGGTCGCGGAAGAGGAGGTGGTGGTGGTGGTGGCGGCGGAGGTGCTTGAGGCTGGACTTATACCCCACTGCAGCGGCAGCCTGCGCACGCGATACTTGTACAGATAGCGACGGGTTGATTTTCGACCGTCGACTACGGAGCAAGAATACAGAGGAGCGAGAAAGCACCACTATGGACCGTCGAGTTGAGCAGACTGCTTTTGATGCTGCGTTGGAACAGAACCTGTCCCGACTGTCAACTCCAGCGAGAGCAGCATCGTCTTCCTTGTCAAGTCGTACGTCCTTACTGAGTACTCGTTGCTCCTCTGCTGGGTAAGCATAGCAGAAAGTCCGCTATCCTGGACACAACCTGAAGCTAGCAACCTGACACGAATAGGCGTAAGCACATTAGCCAATAGGAAACCCTACAAAACGCCAGGTACATAGTCTTTGGTTCTATCTCCATGCATCTTGGCCGCAGTGATACAGTTACCCGAACAATACGGTGGTCCGGCGGAGTCGTACGTTAATGCGGGGCACTCCTTACGTTCCGAGCTTGTGGTACGGCGTAGTTGTCTGCTCAGGCGACTCTCCATCTGCGCTATGCTATAAGACTTGCGCCGCAGCCGATTTACGCTCAACGCTTCAGGGTTCATCAAATTGCTTTTGCATCTTCTCTGGCAGTCTAATCCAGCCTCTACAAGACACTACTTATCTATCTACATCCAGTTCCTCTACCTGTTTCGGGTCCAGGCATCGCTCTTGCAAGTTTACTAACAATCATTTTTCAAATCCACTACCTAAGTCGTCACAATGACGAGCTTTACCATCTCAGACAGCCAACTTGATGAGTTGAAAGGTCAAGTGGCTGTCATTACAGGTAGAACACCATGTTCAGACCTTCCTTACAGCCTACTGATGTACAACAGGGGCATCTTCGGGAATTGGGCTTGCAACACTTCGAAGGATTATCAAGCATGGAGGCAAAGTTTTTGCATGCGACGTCAATCCGCTACCTGAGCCCGAGGCATCATCCGTCCTTTTCTTGAAGGCTGATGTCTCGTCTTGGAAAGAGCAACTCGATGTTTTCAAAGCGACAGAAAAGGAATACGGGAAGATTGACCAAGTTTTTGCAAATGCAGGAATTGGAAAGTCAACGACCTTGCTGGACGATAGCGTGGACGAAAACGGCGACCTGCTTGCACCAAGGCTAGACACAATCAACATCAACTTGATCGGCGTGATATACACAGTGAAGTTAGCCATACATTACATTCAGAAGAACCCGAATGGTGGAAGTATTGTCATAACAGCTTCAGGATCAAGCTTCCAACGATTCCCGGTTGAGGATTATAGTACGTCTTGCCAAGTAACATCAAGTCTAGGGACTAACACACATTAAGCCTCAGCCAAGCACGCTGTTCTCGGGCTTGTACGTGCTCTGCAACCCCAACTCCACCCCAAACTCCCGATTCGTATCAACGCCGTCGCCCCGTCTTGGACCGACACAGCTATTGTGCCTCGCACTATTGTTGCTGCTCTAGGCGAATCCATTGTGCAGTCGGCAGATGTTGTCGCTCGTTCTGTAGCGCTGTTGATGGCTGATAAGAGGCGTCACGGAGAGCTGGTATACAGCGCAGCAGGCAAATTCCTGGAAATGGAGAATGGGACGGCGGGGTTTCATGCTCTTACGCAGCAGATGTTGGAGTCCAAAGAGGATGAAATGGAGAAGTTGTTGGCTGCTGAAAGGAGAGTAGAAAATGTCATCGACAATATGTCAGAGAAGGAGAGACAGCATCATACGAACAGAGCTCCAGTGACTATGGAGTAGAACGATTACGATGATATCTTTGGAATGATAGCTATCTATGTGTAAATTCTCAAAAAAAAAAATTATTCATCTTCCTACTTACCGCGTTATGACATGCGCGTGGGCTGATATCTACTCCATCATCCTCACAATGAACTTGACTCAAGCACTCAAACAAACTATCGCCACGATCCGGTCTGCTATGCGTCCATTCTATGTAGAGAGCTACTTTGTTAGCATGCTGGGAAGCTTTCGAGTGTGTGTTTGTAGGCTGATGAGTTACGGCATCTACGTTACTATTACTTCGAAGAACAAGGACAACATCAGCAGAGCGCAGCGTGATAGCGCACCGCAGGGGTCTCAAGCATGGGATGTTACATCTCGCTTCGTTCTCACTACATAAGAATGGCAAGGTGAACATCTGGCTTCCTTTAACATAGACAACGAGATGAGCTGACACTCAGGAATAGACCAAGGACTGATGGAAAAGAGATAGGCTTGCTTGTCCAGAGCGCTTGGGATCTCCAGTTCGTCATCTGTTTTCCTAGACCAGCTCTTAATGACATGGCAAGCTTTCGTGAGGTATTCCTGCATCGTTGGAAGGCGAGACATGCTTTGCCTTGGGTTGACAGAGTATGACATTCTGATGTGAGGGGCACTGCTATCTGAAACAAAGATTGTAGAAACATCTGATTTGGTGTGGCTGGGCAGCGTTATCGCACCCACTTTCGATGCGCTGGCAACGGCGCCAACTTTGATGCCGAAGCGCATTGACTGCAGAAGTAGAGGATCTATAGCACACGGTATCTAATTCGGAGTCGCCGGTTGATTATTGAACGTCAGTTTCAAAAGTGTAACAGACACTTACATCCAAGTTCGAACTAGAATCTAGATATTGTGGCACCTTTTCTGTGTCGTTCTACTACATCAGAAGATGGCTACCTCGTCGTGTTAAGGCTCTGCCAGTCTTTGTAGACAGCAACGTAGAATGAAGCTTTTCTTCGTCCTCTATAAATAAATATCATCGGTTCTTATCATTAACGTGACTAGGGCCGAATACACTAACTCAACGGATGAAAGCTTTTCCACAAGCACTCCAAAACTTAGCGAAGACCATGTTCTTTGCTGGACCGCTTAACTTACATATGCGCAAACAAGATACACCCCTTGTCTCCGCATGGATATTGAACAAGCCATAGACTATCAGCCTATCAACAACTTGACATGTCGTAGTTTCCGATCCCTCCGATTACCAAGCGTCGTGGCGTCGCGGGGTAGGATAAAGTCTTCGCCTGGTGATGCAGCTGGACTCAGCTCTGTGCCAAATCTCCAGCTAAACACGACCAGATACCGAACCTGACAACCGACGGCATGTGGAGTAATCGCTACGGCTGTTCGCCTCCAGATAGATGCGGTCGCCGATCATCGTGGAGTCCGGGGTAGGTCCGCCTCCACGCCGAGTGGAGATTTATGTGACCGTGCATCTGGCGCGTCTCCGTTTTGGGTGCTAGTTACGACAGCCATCACACTTGGCGCACACGCGCTCCATCAAAGTACGCGCTGACGAGGACACTGGCCGGGCCCAGGTGCGGTCCGGTGTGAAGGAGAATCCGCCGAAGAGTGTGGAGTATAAAGCCAAGGTGCGGCGTTACGACTTGCCATTGTTGCGAAGGTTGTCTTTCTTTTTTTGATCCCATTATCACTCCGCCATGGCTCAAGCGCAGACGGATTATTCCGCCGAAAAGTACACGCCCAGCCATCATGAAGATCTCAAGAATGAGGACGCGCACCAGATTGCAGGACACGGTCATGCTGCCACAGACATGTGATTTCGCCTTCACCTTTACGCGTCTCTCATCTAACAATTGCACAGCTACGGACATGCCCTGATGGAGTTCGATAAGAAGGCTGAGTCGCGTCTCAGGCTGAAGATTGATCTGTACATCATTCCGACCGTGGCCCTCCTCTACCTATTTTGTTTCATCGATCGTGCCAACATCGGAAACGCTCGCCTAGCTGGTCTCGAAAAGGATCTTGGACTCACTGGTTATGATTACAACACCGTCCTCTCTATCTTTTACATCAGCTACATTATTTTCGAGATTCCTTCCAACATCTGCTGTAAATGGATGGGTCCTGGATGGTTCATTCCCATCATCTCACTATGCTTCGGCATTGCATCGATTGGCACGGCTTTTGTCCATGATATCAGTGCGATTTGTGGAGTTCGCTTCCTTCTGGGTATCTTCGAAGCTGGTATGCTACCAGGTATCGCATACTATATGTCCCGTTGGTACAGGCGCTCTGAGCTTGCTTTCAGGCTGTCGCTATACATCGTCATGGCTCCTCTAGCAGGTGCTTTTGGAGGATTGTTGGCATCAGCGATTCTCACACTCGACTCCTTCGGCTCCCTTACACGCTGGAGGATGATTTTCGCGATTGAGGGCATAGTCACCTGCTGTCTGGCACTTATCTCTTTCGTAACGCTGACGGATCGCCCGGAGACTGCGCGCTGGCTGACTCAAGCGGAAAAAGATCTGGCCATTGCTCGTGTCAAGTCTGAGCGTGTTGGCCAGAACGAGGTGCTGGACAAACTAGATACGAAGAAGACGCTTCGTGGTATCTTCAACCCTGTAGTACTGACGACCTCTTTCATTTTCCTGCTCGACAATATCACGGTGCAGGGTCTTGCTTTCTTCGCGCCTACCATCGTCAGGACGATATACCCTCGAGATTCAGTTGTCTCGCAGCAGCTCCACACCGTTCCACCATATGTCGTAGGTGCCTTCTTCACGGTCCTCCTACCCTTCCTCAGTTGGAGATACGACAGGCGCACGATCTTCTTCATTCTAGGAGCTCCACTCATGATGATCGGATACATCATGTTCTTGGCCAGCACCGAAGCAATGGTTCGATACGGAGCGACCTTCTTAATTGCGTCTGGAGCATTCTCGTTTGGTGCTCTCTGTAACGCGCAAGGCTCGGCTAACGTTGTATCTGATACCGCGCGAGCATCCGCTATCGGTAAGTACTACAACTCGCGAATTACAAGCAGTGTAAATTCTGACTGCAAAATCAGGTACCGTTGTCATGTTTGGCAACATAGGCGGTTTGATTTCGACCTGGAGCTTCTTACCCACAGATGCTCCCAACTACCCTATCGGTAATGGGCTTAATCTGGCGACCAGCAGTACGATTTTGATATCGAGCACTCTCCTCTTGCTCTGGATGAACAGAAGCAACAAGCAGCGCGAAAGCATTGATGTTGATCAGGAATTGGCTGGCAAATCAGAGGGAGAAATTGAGGATCTCGATTGGAGACATCCCTCATTCAGGTGGCGGCCGTGAGCGAAGACGTGCAGCCCGAGTAATGGTCAACATCTGGTACTGCGACTTTCTACCAAGTATGCACGAAATGTCGATAATGCAATGTGATGTAGCTCGAATGAGTGCCCACAAAACAATGTATGATATGTGAAGACCGAGTTATGTCCGTCCTGCGCGTTCCCCGCATCGATCGATAAGCATGTCCACAGCTCCGAATGCGACCTCGGTCCAGACGGTCTTTCGTCATGCAACCGAGCACGACAATCATGAATAGCCACTCGAGCGATCTCTCCTCCCATAAAGGTTGCATATGTCTAACCGGGAATCCACCTTAGCCTGCTCGCGCTGTCATAATACCTCACGCGTGTTACTTTAACTAGATTCGATTCAGCTCTGCAGCCATGCCATCAGCCATTGTGATCAGACAGGTCGAAGGCAAGCCAGGACAAGTCTATTACCCTCTCGAGAAGATAACTGTTCCCGAGCCAAAGCCAAAAGACAACGATGTAGGTGGACTCGAGACGTGCCGTCCGTTGTGCGCAAGCTTACTATCATCACCCAGGCCGTCATAACCATCACAGGCGCCGCGTTGAACCATCGCGACCTATTCATCCGCCAGCACCTCTACCCCGGCACAACCTTCGGCGTCCCCCTTCTCGCAGACGGTGTCGGCATCGTTAGCTCGACCGGCACGTCATCCTCCGCGAAATCATGGCTGAACAAGCGCGTGCTCCTGAACCCCGGCACGGGCTGGAAGGACAGCCTCGAGGGCCCAGAACATCCAAAGGGATATGCGATAATGGGTGGCACCAAGAGCAATCCTGCAGGTACATTACAAGACGTGTGTGTGCTAGACGCAGGCGAACTAGAAGAGTGTCCCGAGCACCTCAGTGACGAGGAGGCCGCAGCGCTTCCTCTGACTGGTCTCACAGCCTGGCGCGCATTCTGGGTCAAGAGCGGAAATGCAGTTGCAGGGCGAAATATCCTGGTTACAGGCATTGGAGGCGGTGTCGCGCTCATGGTTCTGCTATTCGCCGTGGCGCAGGGCTGCAACGTGTACGTGACCAGCGGAAACCAGGAGAAGATTGACAAGGCGGTCAAGCTGGGTGCCAAGGGTGGTGTAATCTACAAGGAGAAGGACTGGGACAAGAAACTGCAGGCTATGCTGCCCAAGGACCGACAACATCTCGATGCCATTGTCGATGGCGCGGGAGGCGACGTGGTCAAAGTGGGTAGTAAAATACTCAAGGTTCGTTTTCTTCCCCGCTCGCCTTTTCTCAGGCTATCATCTAACATTGCAACAGGTTGGCGGCATCATCTCTATTTACGGCATGACCGTCTCCCCCAAGATGGATTTCCTCATGTCCGCTGTGTTGCGCAACATCGAAGTCCGTGGCTCTACCATGGGCTCACGGAAAGAATTCGCCGATATGGTGCAGTTCGTGAAGGAGAAGAAGATGAGGCCTGTTGTCAGCCGAAGTGTGCAGGGTCTGGATATTGACAAGATTGAGACGCTGTTTGATGATATGAAGAACGCGAGTCAATTTGGCAAGTTAGTTGTTGTCCTGGGGCAGGAAAAGCAGAGTAAGCTATGATGAGTAAGATTCTGGATTTTGGAGCACACAAAGCAGCTACAATGATCTTGTTGATATGATCTTACTGCTACACCGCTTGGCACCATGTGTAACAACATCGTTGTTTCGATCAGGCGGTCGAGTCCGCTCCATTCTAGGACGCCCTACTAATTCCATACTACAACGCTTCTCTTTCTATCGTTCGAAGCATAGAAACCCACATAAATTGATCCTTACATCAGACTACAAGCATACAAGGCAGACGCTCCGAAACTCATCGATCATCCGTGTTGATTCGTCCGAGGTTCGACTAAAGTACTACTGATTAAAACATAGCAAGTTGCAGCTGTTGCCGCGGGCCTTTTACCTAACAGAAGACGTATTCGTACTGATGTCCGCCGATGGAGTTCTGATAGAGGGTTCAAAGTGTCACGGAAATCGGGCTGCTCCTAGTGCGTGACAGTTGGCGGAGTCCGCGGAGTGAAAAAGAGGAGGGTCGGAGATGGACTCACTCCGGGAACGTCAACATGTAAATACACCCAAGTAAACATGAGTTTGACCACGCTGAGTCGGCTTAAATATCATTGCAAATGTTTGTATTCCCGTTCTATTATATTATCATCTTCTTGTTTTCTTTCTGCATAACGCGAATGGTTCCGGCAAGGCGACAAGGAAGACCACAGTCATGTCCGCCTACGACAAGAAACAGCCCAACCTCTCGAAAAACAGTCTAAAGCAGGATGGTTATTCTATAGATGGTGAAGCAACGGCTACTTGCTATTGTGGAGCTGTACAATTAGCCTTTGTGAGTCAACATTTGAAGCTCCATTGCAACAAAACAGAGGAAACCACGAGCCTACAAATTCCTCTCGGCAATTGGTATCTACCACTCGGACAACTGACAGACGCTCCAGCCAACAAATGCTCCAGGTCTCATAGATGTCTTCGTCTGTCATTGCACTGACTGCCGAAAGATCACAGCTTCAGCTTTTACATCCGCATTCATTGTGGCATCTTCCGCTGTCAAGTACATCCGCGGAGAGGAAGATCTCAAAATGTTCTCGCAGTCTCAGACTATCAGCTCTGGGAAGGCCATGACGAACTGCTTTTGTGATACATGTGGGACCCTCATGTACAGGCTCAGTGAGGCGCATCCAGACATCAGTCTATTGAGATTGGGTAAGTCTTATCATTGTGTGAGTTGAACGAGCGCAGGCTGATTCGGACAGGCACGGTGGACGATTTGAGTTTGATGGAGGGAGTGCTGAAACCCAGGCGGGAGGTGTTTGTTAAGGATAGGGTGGATTGGTTCCATGGGATCGAAGGAGTGAGGCAGAGCGAGATCACGGAGTGAGTATTGGAAGTAAGAAAAAAGCACAAGAGGACACGTGCATCGACTCATTCAGGCACGCAGAAGGCTCATCGAAATTCAGGTTTCGCATGTGAAGATCATCGGATTCCTATGGGGATTCCGATGTCGTCTACCGAAGTAAGGGTGCACACCAGAATTTACCCTAATGCAGTATCGTGTAGCGCCTCGATGCTCAACATCAACGTGGCCAACGCTCACAGCCGATACTGCTTACCAAATCCCCGAAATCCCCATAATCCGTAGCATGCATCCCTGCATGACGCCAGGAACGAACAAAAGCCGCTAACGTCGCCGATCAACAGGACAAAGCGTGATGTCGTCCCAACGAACGCACGCGGCGCGCGCCATGATTGTTTTTCCTGGCTGAGAGACCAAAACAAGTCCCATCAACGGATTCTTTTTCATCATCGTACAGAACCAGGGGTTCTCGGTCACTGACGTGTGGATTTGCAGTGTGTAATGATGCGGAGTCGAATTTACCGCCGTTTGTTGTAATAACATCGATGACGAAATGACATGTACCTAGCTGACAGAGCAACACAACAACAACAACAACAACAACCAGTCAGCTAGCAAGCTGAACGTGGGAGAGACGACCTGCATATTTGACCTATCAACAAGAACAGCAACCGCGGATTTGTAATCCTCACCTTACAAATCTTTGTGCAACAGAACTCGAGAGAGAGGGCGGGAAGGGGCGAGTATAAGGAGATAAGGGGAGGTCAGCAACCATGAAGTTCATCAAGCAGATAGCCCAGCGCTTGAATCCCGATTTACACATTCCTGGGACCGACAGCCCACCTCCGTCGCCATCACCAATACGAAAAGCGAAGAGTTCATCGACACTTCTGGTGACAGAGCAACGGAAGGAACTTTCCACGCCGCCTTCCATTTCATCCCTAAGAAAGAAAGCGAGTTCCATGTTCCTGGCCCGAGGAAGTAACATACAAGATTTTGCTACTTGGGACGATTCACCAACAACATCAGTTGCAACTGCCTCGGCAACGACAATGCCCCCTCTACTAACACACGCACGACACTCCTCTGGTCCGGCGCTAAGTTCATCAGCGACATCATACCACACACAAGCTTATTCCACCCAGCCATCTACACGAACTTCAACAATCACTGGGACATATGAACCTAGAGGTTCTTCACCAACATTACCAGCCATAGCAACAACGCTACCTATAGCAATAGCCATGTCTTCTGTCCGCTCGCCAGATAAATCAGTGCCTTACTTCCCTCTCGCTGGCCAAGCAAAGGATGGGTACTCCAACGCTGAGGAAGCAACTGCGACATGTTATTGCGGCACTGTCCAACTCGCTTTCCCAGTCGAAGGACCTGGCTTGGTATCGACGTTCGTGTGTAACTGTACCGACTGTCGAAAGATTACCGCGAGTATGTTTGCTTCTAACTTTACTGTCAAGGATAGGTGAGTCCTTCCCCAGGCCGAATCGTGGAAAAACAACAGCCCAGCTGACGTACCACAGTCATCTTCGTCACCTCCGCGGCCAGGAGAACCTCTCCGTTTACAGTCAAGTTGCAACGATAGCTTCAGGCCACTCAATGGCGAATCACTTTTGCAAAACCTGTGGTACGCTCATGTACCGAGTCGGCGGCGGATTTCCAGGCTGTTCCATCTTGCGCTTGGGTACGGTGGATGATTTCAATCTAGTAGAGACCAAGTTGAAACCACAGAGTGAGCTGTTCATCAAGGATCGTGTGGGTTGGTTCAGTGGCGTGCAGGGGGATGAAGTAAAGAGGTTGCAGGCTATGTCGTGAGTACACGCTTGAAAGAAGTGGTACGTGGCATGAGAGGCCGAGGATGGTGAAAGGTATAATGGAGGGGAGGGACGGAATTGGTAATAGTGTAATATCAGCATTGAGGTGGGAAGCAAAAGTATGGACGTCGTCAAGGTGGTGCAAGAACATGGAAATAATGCATTATATGGATATATCAGTGTATCAATAAATTGCACAAATGCGAAAGGCCTGTCCCGAGATTGTTGAGAACTTTCGAATGTTGCCTCTCAACGGTCGCTCCAGGGCACCTCGCAATTTGTCCACGAAGATTCGTAACATCACAAAAATGCATAGTGATAACAACGAAGAAGAAAATACGTTACAAAGGCGTTTTGGAGCATGGCACCTACCTAGGGTATCACTCACAGCCACTCGTCCACATCATCCGCAACATCCATATCCGCGTCCACTCCACCCATCTGGTGACCTTCATCTTCCTCAACCTTGATTTCTTGCTCTCCGATGGTAGCGGACGAGTCATCATCATCATCGTCGTAGTTCGCTGCAGAAGCGTCAGTTGTAGTCGTGACAGACTTGAGACCGCCAAATGCGTCGTTAGGAACCCATGCCAGCTCAAGTTTACCAACGTCAGGAATACTGAGGGACTGATCCAGAAAATCCTCAGCCTGATATCGTTCTTTGAAGGTTAGGATGAGGGCATCGGTTTGCTCGGGGTGACGTTCGATGCTACAATCAGGGATGTTCTAGAGATATCATTAGTAGACGGAGATGTATACACGAACAATCTCCACTTACAAGAAGATGCTGTCTCAAGGATTCATCCTTCGGTGAATCAGGCTTGATACCCGTGACAGCTAGGCGCCTAGGCCTATTATCCAGTTTCTTGTTTGCAGCGCGACCAGCGAAACCACCTGAACGACCACGATACGCGCCCCGATAAGGTGCATAGCCTCTGGCCCGAGGTGGGAAGTATCCACGACCTCGATAGGTTCCACGGAAAGCACCATGGCCGCGATCACTGGGCGAGGGCTCATCGGGACCATGCTGATCGAACAGTTCTGCAGCCTCTGCTTGAAGTGTTGCAAGGGTCTGTGAGAACTCGTCCGATGGATCACCTGATAGTTCTGCAAGTTGGCGCTTAATCTCTGCTATCTCTCTGTTCTTCTCCTCCAGCTGTCTCTCAATCTCTGCGGCTCTCGCATCTGCTTCCTGGGCCTTACGACGGCGCTCTTCGAATGCCTTCTGCGCTTCAGCTTGTCTTATCGCAATAGCCTCCAAGTCAAGTCTTTCTTCTTCTTTGTGTTTCGGGTCCTCCATGTCAATATCTTCATTGTTTTCAAGAGACAGTTTTTCCCCTGTGTCCGGGCCATACCAGTAAACCTTGACGAATCGGTTCTCGAACACGGCCTTGGGGCTATGGTAGGCTTGATTAGCAGCCTGGCGGTTGGCGAATTTAATGACTGCCAACCGCCTCTTAGGATGCAACTCGATATTAGCAATCTCACCAAACTCTGAAAAGTAGGTCCGTATACTGTCATCGTTGAAGTATTCTTGTGGAATCTGTTCGACGACAAGCGTGGTGTTTGATCGATCATGGGAATAGCCTGGCAAGGAGAACGATGAGCGCGGTCTACGATTCTTGGTCGAACGACGTTGGCTACTAGGGACTGCTTGTTTACTAAACAACCCTTGCGGCTGGACAGCAAGGAATGACTGCTCTGGATCATACTCGGGAATCTCGTCAGGCGAAACAGTCACTGCGGCGTCGCTATGCTCGTGTGGACAAAGGCTGCCCAGCGCGCAGAAGCCCCTTTCGAAGTAATCAGCACACTTTATCTTTGGCCGTACTTGGTTCGAGCCACCATCTTGCCTGCTGGGCAAAGGGAGCTGAGGCATGCCTGGCAGGTTCGCGCCAAAAGCTGCTGCCATGGCAAAGAAAGCCATGGGGTCTGAGGGATCGAAAGGCAAAGGTCCTGGGGGTGGGGGTGGGAGGTTGGTAAAGTTCGGCATACCACCGTAGCCACCGAAGGCGTTCTGTGACCGCACTTCTCCATTTCCAGCACTTCTCCCGCCTCTGCGAGCGGTCTGCTTCGAAGGTCTATTATTCACACCACCGTTGCGGTTGTAGTGTGGATCTTGGCCTTCTCGCGACTGGCTATCACCTCTTTCCAACACTTTGCGCTTCCTTGACTGATTAGAGCCATCATGATGTGTGCCTTGCGTGGTCGGTCGGTCGGGTACGTGGCGAGGTGCCTTTAGATTTCTGGTCGCGGCAGGACCTCTAGGAGCTCCAGATGACACATTCGACGGATGTGGTTCATATTCGAAGTTCGTACTGCCAACAATAGACTGTATTGGCTCTGACTGTAAGGCTTGGGACGAGAGGTATGGCTGCGCGTCGTTCGCTTTCGGTTTTGGGAGGTAGCTCTTGGCTTTGAGTCCTGCAATGATATCTTTTGCGAAAGGTTCGGTGCCTTTCACTTGTCAGCTATGAGGCATGCCATGGCTTTCTCATGCGCTTACTTTCTCTGCCTAGGAAATCCTCCAGCGACTCGACTAGAGTACGCTGAACGTTTGCATCTGTATCATCAACGGTGACGAGCGCGGCCACGTAGTCGGCAAGAACCCCAGCTTCAGCATCGGAACTGCACTTCTTGTCAGTATTTTGCGACTGCGCAACGACTTCGGTGGGAGCGATGGCTGGCTCTGGCTTACATGTTTTCGAGCTTCGGTAGTAACCAGCCCTTGAACTCAGCATGGTCTTTCTCTTCGAGCAACATTATAGCTCTTGTGGTCAACTTCCGCTCTCCCCCACGTTGCGCGATCTTATCAAGGTTGCGTCGCAATCTTTCCGTACTGTGTTGTTGACGTCTTTGGTGGGACCTAGACCGAGCAGAACGTACCTCTTTCGCGTTGCTCTTAGCGCGACGACAGTGTCATAGCTCTCTTACTCGTGTGCACGTGACATCAATGCCCCGCTACATTCACTGCCGAACAACCTCACCCTTGCCGTAACGTTTCACACATGTGCCACATATAGAGAATCATACAGACTCATAGCGTGACCACTACTAACGCTCAATCAACAGCTTGTGTCCACATGTCATCACCAGCATCATCATGACAACCGACAAAACATATTGTGCGATATAGCTTGATTTTCTCCAACTATATTACACTCGGAACAGGTAAGGAAAAGGGTCATTATCCGTATCTTTCGTGCAAAGCCCCAAAAACCTGACTAATATCAAGGGCGAAACCGCCCGGACCGACATTTACTAGTTCTGGTTGCTCCAAGGGGGACCCGTTTGCGTCATACATCGACCAGCGGCCACGAGCTTGCCCATGACTGTCGGATGACCCAGAATTGCGAGGAAAGGAAATCTAACGCTTTTGCTAGCATTCCCTTATAGCTTGTCGTAGTACTGCGAAATCTGTTAGCATCTGATGATTTGTTGTGATCTGCGGATGAACTTACGTTGGAGACGTCGGGCACCTCAGTCTTGATACCCTTGCGCTTACGCATGTCGAACACGATCTTACCAACCATGGTGGTGGCATCAAGTGGCGAGCCACCCTGAAGATGTTGCCAATGGTCGAAGACTTGTTGTGGGAAGGCCTGTCCACCAGTGGCGGCACGGAGATCGGCAGTGAAACCGAAGGACTCGTTGACGGGAAGGTAAGCCTTGACGTTGAAGAGAGGAGTACCAACACGCTGGTTCTCCTCGAAGACGTGACCTCTCCTTCGGGTAAGGACACCGTAGATACCACCCATGGCTTGCTCGGGAACCTGGATCTCGACGAGGTAGACGGGCTCGAGCAGAGTGGGCTCGGCAAGGAGGGTGGCGGCGTAGAGGACACGGCGCGCAGTGGGGATGATTTGACCACCACCACGGTGAATGGCATCAGCGTGGAGAGTGACATCCATGATGTTGAAGCGGATAGAGCGCATGGGCTCCTCAGCAATGGGACCTTCCTTGGTGGCCCACTGGAAACCAGAGACGACGGAGTCCTTGATTTCACTCAGGTACTGGACGGCCTTGGTCTGGTCAACGAGCAAGTTGGCACCGGTGGTGTCGGGACCGAAGCACCAAATCTTACGGGCATCTGTGACATCCCAGCCGTGCTCATCAGCAAGGATACGAGCACGCTGCTTGATATCGTCACGAGGAGCGATCTTGCCAGCCTCAATGGCCAGGGAGACGGCCTCGTCCAAAGGCTGAGCGGTAAGGTAGAGACGGTTGTGCTTGTTGGGCGACTTGGACAGCGCGGTGATGCTGGAAGTGGCGTTGACAGTCTCACGGTACTGGACGACGGGGTCGGAGATACGGAGAGGAACACCGGCGTGGTCCTCCTCGAGATCCTTCAAGCAAATCTCCAAGTGCAACTCACCGGCACCAGCAACAACGTGCTCACCGGATGGGGAGATGTAAGTCAAGACGCAAGGGTCGGACTTGGAGAGACGCTTAAGACCTTCAACGAGCTTGGGGAGATCCTGGGCGTTCTTGACCTCGACGGAACGCTGCACGACGGGGGAAACGGAGAACTTCATAACCTTGAGGTTGTGGGCAGTCTCGTTGGTGGTGAGGGTACCAGACTTGAGCAAGAACTGGTCAACACCGACAAGACCAAGAATGTTACCGGCGGGAACGTTGTCAATAGGCTCAACGAAACGACCCATCATGAGGATGGTACGCTGGATGGCCTTGATGAACAGGCCTCCTTCTTTTCGGGCTGGTAGTTGGGGCCCTGAATGCGGACCTTGAGACCAGAGCGGACGGGACCGGAGAAGACACGACCGAAAGCGTAGAAACGACCCTTGTCGGAAGTGGGCACCATCTTGGAGACGTAAAGCATGAGAGGACCGTTGTGGTCACAGTCCCGGATACCGATGGCGTTAACGTCATCGTGGGGACCCTCGTAGAGAGTCTCCATACGGTACCTCTGGGCGGTGACGGGAGAAGGAAGGTGGAGAATCATCATCTCGAGGAGAGCGTCAGCGGCGGGAAGGAACTTCCTCATGACAACCTTGAGGAGCTGCTTGCCCTCGAGGTCCTTCTCATCGGAGGTGAGCTTAATCTCAAGCTTCTCGAGTAGAGTGGGGATCTCGTCGGTCTTGAAGTTCATAACAGCCTGGAAGATGCGGAAAATGGGGTCCAAGATGAACTGGTTGAAAGCACGCTCGAGGGCCTTACCCTCGTGGGTGCCGACCTTGGTCCACTTCTTGGTCTTGGGGTTGAAGTAGCTGTCACCCTACGTTCTGTTAGCAACTGCTGGAGACTGTCTCGATCGATGTGCTTACCCAGAGACGCTCCATCATCTTGTTCTTGTCGACACCGAACTTCTTAGCGTAGCGGGTGGCGAACTGACGGATGGTGAAAGCCCAGCCGTGAAGACCGGAACCGAAGGCGATGGTACCCTTCTCGGGGTAGACCTGGACGTCACCAAGAGTCTTGTCGAAGTAGGTGGCGATGACGACGTTGACGGACTCAATGACACGGGAGAAGTTCTGGTACAGATCCTCCTTGGAGAGCTGGAGCTCAAGAAGAGCACGGTCGACCTTGTTGATGATGACAACGGGCTTGATACGCTCACCAAGAGCCTGACGCAGGACAGTCTCGGTCTGGACACAGACACCCTCAATGGTGTCAACGACAACGAGCGCACCATCGGTGACACGGAGAGCAGCAGTGACCTCAGATGAGAAGTCAACGTGACCGGGCGAGTCGATCAAGTTGATCAAGAAGTCGTTCTTGGTGGTGGGGACGGGGATGTCCTTGAGGTCCTCCTCGTCCTTGAGCTGGGCGTACAGGGAGATGGCAGTCGACTTGATAGTGACACCACGCTCCTGCTCGTCAGCTCGGGTATCGGTGAAACGAGCCTCACCAGCCTTGGCGGCCGAGATAATACCGGCACGCTGGACGAGCGAGTCGGTGAGGGTGGACTTTCCGTGATCGACTGTGGTGGGGTATATTAGCCATCTTTCCTGTCAGATACTGCGGGGTCCCACGAGAGCGCTTACCGTGGGCAATAACGGACATGTTCCTAATGTTCTTAGGGTCGTCCATGAGACCACGGATCTAGCCGCGCAGTCAGTATCCATCCTTCCAATGTTCCCGGTATCGAAGTGTGATGCGGGGTGATGTGTGCGCGGAACGTACCTCCTCGACGGTGAAGCTGTCGTCATGTTAGCCATTGTTCGACCAATTTCACAGACAAGAGACGGAATGCTCGTGTCTGGAGCGAGGTGGGAAGGGTCGGCAGCGACTTACTTGACCATCTTTGCGGTGTTGTACTGCTCTTCTTTTACGAAAATTCAGTGGTGGGGAGATGTCGAATACCCCGCTTTGAGCGCGCGGATTCGGTGTATAGGTCGCGGGTTGAGCTGATGTCTCTGGCGATGCAGTCGACCAGAGTCAGACAGACGGAGATTGATATAGGCCGTAGAGGCAGGCGTGCGTCTGGTTGAGAAGAGTTCTGCGAGGGGGAGCGAAGGTTTTTAGTAGAGCTAGTGGTGGGGTCAGTCGCGCTTTCTCGCTAAAGCTCGGCCCACTGGTGGCGCGAAGTAACCTTTAATGCCCAAACTGGTTATGCTGCGGCGCCCTTTCCCTCTGCACTCCGCACAACATCCAGCTCTAATTTCTGCTGTCTTGCCAGAACCAAGGGAGATGACTCCACTGATCTGTTGTGGTACTGCCAGTTGTTTGTCTGGGGATTATAATGCAGCGGCCCAATACATGTCATTGGGCAGTGCTTGCGACAAGTGTGGATCATGATCGGGGGAAATATCGTCACTGGTAATTTCGACTGCCAAATTTGGACTTGCAGCGGAAGAATGCATGGCTGCATGTGCCTCAGTTAAGCATTTCTGGCAAGTTTGCGCCTTGAAAAAGCACAAACACTCACAAGAATCATCATGCATCACTACAATGACTACCGCTACATCTTTTCTTTTCCACGAAGACGCCTGGTGACGAAATTCCTGCCGACGCCACAGTCGAATGATGACCACGCCAACCTGACTGAGCATTTTGGGAGATTTGGCGCCCTCTATGAATCATATCAACTTGACTCTTGCTTCCTGGTGAAGGCAACTGGATCAAGATCAGACGCTTTGCTAGTGAGCGCTTTGAAATCCAATCTGAAGGCGACCATTTTGCGGGCTGGTGTGATGTTGCGCTTATCCCCGGTATCCCCGCAGTCTCTCCAGAACCACCTTTCATCTGCGCCTAGTATTCCAGGTCATTTTGTATTGCAGGTCTGTGATATGCATATGAGCACATGGGAGCTAGATATGAAAATATCGTATTTAAAGGCATATTCCGGATGTGATCACTATTCAGTTGACAAGAGCAAGCCACTGCGTTAACTTTGTCTATGTAATTCGTTCTAACAAGGAAAGACAGAACTGCTTCAAGACATGCCATGTCCTTCCTCAAGGAGACCGAGGAGACCGAGGAGAGCGGTCAGGCCACGAGTTCCACGCTCGAGAGCCACTACCTCTGCCTCTACCATCACGGTAGTTGTTCCACCTGCCACCCCTACCGCCCCTCGCTCTTCCCCTTCCCCTTCCTCTATTGTTTCCATAGTTGTCACCAATGTTTGCCCATTGGTGTCCGTCATTCGCGGACAGTGTGTTATTTGCACTAGATCTTTGTTCTTGATAGACGTCTCTTTTCGGAAGTCGTTCTTTACTTGCTTGGGGTTTTGCAAGTGAAGATAGTTCTCCTGCTGACGAGACAACTGGCATGCGATCCGGAAGGACGAAACCTGTCGTTTCCTGTAATTCTTCTTGTCTTTTCGAACTATTGCGTATGGCAGTGCTCTGTTGTGAAACATCATTCTCGCCTCGTGGTACAACGACGTGGGCTTCTTTCAGAGCAGAGGGTGTGCGACATTGATCGTCTGGGGGAAATCCAGTGTCGCCTGGTTCGTGACTACCGCAGTCGGATCCACGATGGTGATTTTTTCTACCACGGCGCATGATCCTGCCTTCGCGCCGACCACTATGTCCTCGATCGTCAAAACCCCTACTCCTGTCTAGAGGCGTGAATTGACCAGTATAATCGAAGTTTCGTTCGTGATCCGCTTCGCCATGAGAAGACATCGATAACCTTGGTGGCAGACGCTCTGAACTCGATTCCCGGTGTTGCGTAATTTTGCTGCGATACATGTCGCCACATTTCTTTCGATCCTGTAGGCGAGGTCGTTTGCGTGAGTCTCTACCACGTCCTCGATCATTTGACTCCCCATCATCGAATGAGACATTGACATGGTCATCAGCCCTCCTCTGTAGATTGCCTTTATCCGAGACGTTATCGAGTTTTACAGCTCTTCTGGATGTGTGGACATTGCCATCCGTTCTGGAAGCTGGCTCGCTATCTGACGCCACCTTGGAGCGCTTGCGAAATTTATCCCAGTAGTCTTCTGTGTGACCAATGCCCGCGCTGCTTTTCTCGTCGTTGGCAACGCTGATAAGATCCTATTAGCGAAATTTAGCTTCGTTCCTTTCATGCGTGATAAGACAGCGCAAAAATTGAACAGCAAAATCCAAACGCGAATTCCATATCTATACTCAACGCACTCTGCCAACTCTTGCTCTTTCTCTCTCCCTATCATCCGTCCTTGATTCACTCGATATCGGCACCTCTACTTCGTACTCTTCTTCCTCGAGCTTGTGAAACTTTTCAACCTCGGCGCGTTCATCGTGTGCACGGGCTGCGTCCAGCATGAACCTGACCGTACCATTCTGACCGCGAATTCCGATTGCAGATTTTGGCGCTTGATCTGCGGCAGGCGAATGTGCGATGGGGGTAGCTGGTGTAAATGGGCTTGTCGGGTCGATGCCGTTGCGAGGCTTGGCGCCGTTTGTGGTGCTTCCGGCATCAGCGACAGACTCCGACTTGTACCGAGAATAACGTGGTATATTCGCTGCCGAAGCCTCCTGATTGAGTCCAATGCGGATGTTGATGAAGTGCTCAAGTGTGTAAGAGGGTCCGACCGAGGTTGCGCTGCGGTGATGGGTGTACAGGTCGAGTAGATCAAGGAGGGTCTCCATAATCTCTGCTCGACTAGTAGCCCACTTGCTGTACCTTACAGGTCCCGCATCCACGAATTTCGTAGTGTCTTTTCCATGCAGCCGTGCGGCAAGCTCTAGACACGCAATAGCCAGAGTCGGTGTGGACTGCTTCAGCGGTGCAAAAGTCCTGTATGAATCGATGCTCAGGTTCCAGGTTGTTTTGGCCTCGTCTTTCGCGTCGAATCGCAGGGCCCTAGCAAGCTTGACCATGACTTTCTGGGGGTATCGATTGCGAAAATCGAAGCCGGTGCTTTCGAGCATGAGCCGTTCAAGGCCGATGATGAGTTTGGAGTGGTTCTCGAAGCGCTATTAAGAGGTTAACCTTGATCCTGCAATGGCCATTCCTATCAAGAAAGGTGCCTACCGGATCGTCGCTACTTAGGCTCTCGCCAGGGCCAACCTTGAGGTTCCAGTGAGCGCATAAGATTTCCCTGCTCTTCTTCAAGGTGTCCTCGATTTTACACGCTGTGAAGAGTGCTGCGGCTGCCGCATCTGCCCAATTGTACTCGTTGTCCGCGTGCAACAGCCTGAACTTGTGGTAGTAGATGACGGCAGTGTTAAAGGTGCGAATGGGCAGTTGGAGTGCGCGTCGCACTTGATCTATCCAGGCGACACCTTGCAGACGGACAGCATCCTCTTTGGCATCGCTCATGTGTATATCTGACAGACATTTCTGCATACGCGACTGCAGGATATAGGGCTTCGCAACTTCGATATACGATGGGTGTGGTCCAACGCGCTCATTATCGCGCTCCAATGGAGAGGCGGCGGGCGCCATGACGTGAGCTTGGGTGCGGATGCTGCAGTGAAACTATTACTTCGTTGTGGCCGCGGGTGTGGGCGTTGGTTGAATGATGCGTGGCAGTGCGCAGTTGGAATGTATCCTCGTCCCGGTCGCAAAGTCGCTCGAGAAATCCTAGGAGTTATCTGCGATCCACGAGGACTGTCTAGGGTCGGACGACGCTCGAGTCGTTGTTGGCAAGCTGGTGGTGGAAGGTTGCAGACTATCGGCATGTGGAGTAGACCAAAAGTTCATGGTCATAGCTCTCGTCACTGGCCGCGAGGCTGGTGAATACGCGCGGAACTTGTAAGGCACAATTTCATGACAAGACACAACAAGACTTCGTTGCTATTATTCGTTCTTCGTGCAATTATCAGTGTCCTATATGAACCATTCCCTCCCAAGCCCATCCTCTCGTCCCATTATTAATTCATCCCAGCTTACACTGTACTCATGAAGCCAACGGGCCACTTCTCAAGAAGCGCCAAGGGCCGTAATCATTATAGTCTAAAGATGCAAGACCAGAGCACAAATGCAACTCTGTCTTGGACGAACCAAATTTTGAACACCGAAATCTACGGCTGCAAATGCAAGAAAAGATCGCTCAAAGTGCGCATCACGTAGAATGAAGCGTGAATTATTATGCTGTAGTTCGGTCCTTGAATGTGAGGAGGCAGTCATCCTATGGTTGGTTAGCAACAATTCCTCGTACTATGCCATGTGTCCAGACTTACCATAGGGAAAATAGTGGCGAACACCTTGATCACCTCACTTTGGTCGGTGACCTGGTGGTCCCAGTCAAGCAGCATACTAGCCTTGCCAATCATCAACATGAGGTTGGCTTGCGCGTATGTTTGACCAAGGCAGTAGTGAGGGCCTGTACCGAAAACGAGCCAGTTCTTGGTTTGTTGATCAGCGTTACCAGTGATCCATCGCTCGGGCTCGAACGAGTCAGGGTTGGGGTATGCTTCAGCATCATGCAACGCCATGTATGTGGTAGGAATGACCATGGAACCCTTGGGGACGGTGTATTCGGGTGTTACAGGGAAGTCCTTCTTAGCAAGGTAAGGAACCATGATGACTGGAGGACGGTAGCGGAGGGTCTCCTTGACGACAGCACGGGTCCATTGCAGCTTCTCGATGGCATCAAGCGAAAGCGTCGCGTGAACGTCGCCGTTCCTGGCCTTGATGTTCTCCTCACGGATTTTGTCGAGGTATTCCGGGCGGTCAGCCATGATTTGGAAGAGCCAGGTAGCGGCAGAAGAAGTAGCGTCCTGGGAAGCGAAGAGGAAGGTGAAGATAGTCATAGAGATCTCAATGTCACTGAACCAGCGGATGACGGTCGCGGGCTTCTCAGCGTCATCGACCTTCTCGCCAGCCTCGATCCTCTTACGGTACTTCTCGGATTGGATCATGTTGTCTACCCAGAAATCGAGAATGCACTCCTTCTTGCCACCGGCGGCCATACGAACCTTGCTCTTTGCGGCACACTTTGAGAACTCGTCCAGAACCATGTCGGCGCACTTCTTTCCGTACCAGGTCTTGGTGAAAGGGATAATGATGGGGAAGTTGACAAGTTCGAGTGCAGCGGTAATCAGATAGTAGTCGTCGGCGATCTTCTTGACAGCCTCATCGGAGCAGTAGTGGCCGACAAAGGTACGGCAACTCAGAGCCGTGATCATGAGGCGGAACTCTTGCATCCAGGGAATGTGCTTGCCCTTGTTCTCGACTTGTGAAAGCTCCACGAAGCGCTTGAAGTATGTGTTGTAGATCTCTTCTTGGCCTGGGAGATACTGTTCGAGCGCCTGGCGAGTAAACAAGCTGTTGAGACCCTTGCGATAGTCGACGTGGGCACGACCATCCAGGAAGACCCAGTTCTCGGGACGAAGGAGTTTGTAGGCGACATCGACAACGCAGGGCTTGACAAAGGTAGGCGAGTTGAAGATCTTACGAGCCATGTCGCGGGTGGAGGCAATGACAACGAACCTGAAGAGCGGTCAGTATGGACAATCTCAGAGCGGACGCACGAGTTACGTACTTGTGAAAGACGGATACACAGCTCAGAGGACCGGAGGACCATTTCTCGTGGTACTTCTTGAAGTCGGGGTTAACGGACTCCAAGAATGGGCCGATGAAAGGTATTTTCCATGATGGACCGACGATTGAGCCCTTGTTCCAGATGTACTTGACTGTAGCAGGGTCAGCAGTGTCCGACACAAACGTGATGGATGTGGTGCGTACACTGGTCGTACGCCACAGCCGTTATGATGAGCGTCAGGAGGAGCTTCCACACGTTGAAACCGGTGAAGACAGAGGAAAGGAGGCCGCTGGTGTCGAATTGCTGGATGACGTGCGCAACTTTTGCATCCGCCGTGGGCGAGACGAAACTCGCGTTGACCGCCATGTTGAAGAATTAGGATCGCGCCGCGCCGTGAAATGTACAGAAGAAAGCGCGAAGATCGCGGAGGAGAAGACGTAGGGAAACCACGAAGAGTCAATCGAAGCCGTATTAAATTCCCACGCGAGAACAAGGCCCAAAGAGGATCTCCAATTGTTTAATTGCAGGGCTTGGCGCAAGCGGTGGCCACTGCAAAAGGAGCCATGTCAATCACATCAACTTTCGGAATCTAGTGCGTTATAGGCCTGGCGTTGCACGGCGATTCGGATTTAGCGCATCCGGGCGCGCGACGACCAGTCTCGCATGGATGATGCTGTCGTATACTGGACGGCATTGTTGGTCGGCCGATACGGTCATACGAGCCATGCATGTCGACGGGAAGCGTTGTCGGAAACTAAGCCTAAGTCGTGATCTGTGTTAGAAATCCATTCTATGTCTCAGATCTCGAGATCTAGGGACCGCCCCATTTGGTGCCTGTCCAGCTTTTCAGGCACACGGCCAATCGGCGCTTTCGTCCGCACTGTGAGCATTGTCAGCACTGTTTGTGGAACTCCAGTTCGTAGATCGCATGTCAGCCACGCCACCTGATGGATATATCATCGCATGATACGATGGTAGACCCTACGCATACACAGAATAACGAGATCAAGGTTGCTGAAACTGCAGCAGTGGAAGTCGGTGCAACATCTCTGCTGCATGGTAACAAGGCTGCATCCAGCCTGGATTGGTGTAGTAATATTCTTTAAACAACGATAGTGCCGATACAATGGAGACTGCAACACCAGCGCATCTGTGCGCTTCTATACTCAATCATTCATTCTTGCAAGGTTGCCTTGAAAAATTCTGGCCAATATCTCCCGTCACTGATAGGGTGCGTCGCCCTGGTAGCTAACCACGAATCCATGCCCCATCGCTGACGAAGAAAAGGAATTAGTTCACTAACGGGATAACCCCGGAGCGCTTTGTGTTCTATAATGCCCGGAATCCCAACGTGGAACCTCCTCATCTCCTCAGCGAAATACCCGTGAACATTCTTTTCCTGCAATTCGGTTAATTTAAGATTGAAAAGACAGCCTTGAGGCAGGTGTCATATGTTGTAGGGAAGGTTGAAGTAATGGGTCATACTTACGTGCTCCCATTGTTCCTTTGTCAACCCGAATATTCCAGTGATATCGCGCGGGAAGGCCGAAATGCCCTCGTCGTAGTGCGTGATCTTGACGGAGATGTGGTCACAATCGTGCATCATTGTGTAGACTGTGTTTCTGGTGCACTCCAAAAAGTTGACATAATTGCATTGAGCGGCGAGCCCGGTCCTCACATCACCGGAAATCGGGAACTCAGTGAGAATGATGAATTCAACATTGACTCCGTGCTCATGGCGATGCTCTAAGAAGACTCTCAAACCTCGCAAGTTGGCTTCAGTAAAGCGTAGGAAACGCTGTTCGTATGCATACTTGTCGTAATCGGTCATGTCGTCTTTTGGCATGTCCGAGTGGAACTGTTCGAACTTGACGCGAATCTGGAGATTTTGGATATGTTCTCTGGGGTAAACCGGTAATGGTAGCTGGAGGTCTTTTGGTACTTCCTTAGGGGTGCCATCATCGTTGCAACCCACCATATTGTAGCCAGAATCGCGCTCTAAGAAGTATAGTATTCCCTGCTCGACGCTGCAGACGGAGAAGGTGTTTCGCGCATAATACATCTTCTGTATCTCGAATGCGATTTCTGGGCCCATGTATCTAGGGTCCAGGAAATGGCTGTATGGAAGTGCCATATCACTCGGTGGCTTGTGGGTATGCACTTCTTTGATCCGACCATCAGGAAGTATAGTATCCTCGTCTTCGTGATTGAGTCTGAGTTGGTCGGCTGGAGTTGATGATATCGTCTCCATGACACGTTCAGTAAGGCCTGAATTCATCCGTGTATCATTACTGTCGATAGGCTGGGACGAGCCAGTCTGCTGGTCAGATACCTCTCCAATCTCAACATCGACATTCGAACTAACACCAATATGGGGTGCATAGGCTGGGTCAGTTCTTGGTAGCGGCCAGGTGGACACGACGTATGGGTGACGACTAGTTGGGACGAACCTATATCGAGGGTCGTGCAATGGCCGATCGTATTTACGGAAGTGGTAGTACGGGCCCACAGGTATGGGACGGTCAGGTTCGACGCAGAGGAGTTCGTAAATCAGTTCACGCAGCTCAACGGGAAGTTTCTGATGCATCATGGTCGCAAGTTGCAGGCAGTCCTTCCTTGCATAGTAGAGTACATGTTTCCGGTAGATGAGATCGGCGGAGCGCACTTCCTTTGTAGCTTCTCGAAGCTCACGCTGCAACTTTGCAATTCTACTATAACGTCAGCCACTCAAGTATGTGTGCAGGTTATACATGGGGTTTTTTGACTATTGTTGCTCGCGTTGGACATGTGTGCGCAACGGCACAGAAATAGGTACACTTGGTGGACTCACTTCTCATGCTGGGATTGCGACTGCGCCGTCATGTGACGCAAAGGCGCTTGTAAAAGCCTGAGATCATTCAGGCCATTCATTTCGCTATATTCACGCGATAATATTAAGAGCCAGTGAGCTTGGGATCACAAATGCTGTGGAGAGTCCACTGCAACCCCACATTCTAGCGCACCCCGCCCATTGGCCAGTCGTAAACGCGTCGCGTAGTCACGCCTTTCGTGTTCACCCATCTCAACATCGGCATGGGTTGACATGGCCACTATCAAGGCCATCGATGGCCGCTCTGTGCATCAGATCCAATCAGGTCAGGTCATTGTTGGGCTGGAATCGGTATGCAAAGAACTTGTCGAGAATAGCATCGATGCAGGCGCCACATCGATTGGTATGTCTTCGCTGCACGATTCCTGGTTGATGTGAGATGACTGACGTGGAACACAGAGGTGCGCTTCAAGAACCACGGGCTTGATGCCATAGAAGTTCAGGATAATGGTTCTGGCATTGCACCTGACGACTACGACACCATCGCCCTCAAGCACTATACGTCCAAACTCGCTAGCTACGATGACCTCGAGTCACTCCAGACATTCGGCTTCCGTGGTGAGGCTTTGTCGTCGTTATGTGCACTCTCCAACTTCCACATCATCACCACTCGACCTTCCGACGGCCCGAAAGGCACACGGCTAGACTTTGAGCAGTCAGGCAAGCTGAAGGGGACGTCTGTGGTAGCGGCTAAGCAGGGTACAACGGTGGTGGTGGAGACACTATTCCACAATTTGCCTGTACGGCGGAAGGAGCTCGAGAAGAACGTCAAAAGGGAGTACAATAAAGTGCTGCAGCTGCTGAACGCATATGCTTGTATAAGCGTAGGCGTCAAGTTCTCTGTAAGCAATCAGATACCGAAAGGGTGAGTACGGATACTCATTTCCACCATTCTTCTGCTGTACTGACATGGTCCAAGAAAGAAGACAGTAGCTTTCTCCACGAACGCTAATGCGAGCACGCGCGACAACATCTCCAACGTCTACGGCGCAAAGACGGTTGCCGCCCTGATCCCTCTTAGTCTCCAGTTCGTTATGGACCCTTCAAGTCGGCCTGGTACCACACAAAGCGCAAGGAACTGGAGCACGCAAGAGGATTCGGGCTCACGAACTGTCAAGATAGTGGGCCACATCTCCCGCCCAGTTGTGGGCGAGGGCCGCCAAACGCCGGACAGACAAATGTTCTTTGTGAACTCACGGCCTTGCAATCTGCCACAGGTTGCGAAGGCATTCAACGAGGTCTACAAGTCCTACAACATCACACAATCACCTTTTGTCTTCGCAGATATTCAGCTGGATACCAACGCCTACGACGTCAATGTGAGCCCAGACAAACGGACCATCATGCTCCATGATCAGACCGCGCTGTTAGAGAACCTCAAAGAGGCTCTTTTGGAACTATTTGAGGGTCATGATCAAAGTGTCCCTCAAGCTCAACTCCTAGGCCAGAAAACGCCCACGTCTACCTTCAAGCCACCGACCATGCAATTTCGTGAGAGCACTACCTCAGTAATGGAGGGTGACCGAAGCGAATCGGAAGATGCTGCTGAGTCTCGCCTGGAGACCCCAAGGAGATCTGACATGAGATCTGTTACAGAAACGCCCAGAACAAGCGATCTTCCAGGCTTTGTGAAAGCAAGTCTCATCGAGCGATCCGCTGATCGGGACCCTGAAGACCGAAAAATTCGTCCAGCGGTTAGGTCCAGGAGAACCAGCACGCCTGAGGACAGCAAGGTGACTGGAGATCGTGTGTCGAATTCTCGCATGTCTCAACGTAGCACTACACCTGAGCATGAAGACTCTGTCCATCCACCACTTGCAAGGTCACAGTCGCCATTGTTCGAACCGGAAGAGATGACCGACGTGCCTGTCCGATTTTCTCAACCTCCGAAGATTGTTCAAGATTTCAACGCCCGTATAGCGTCTGAGAGTCCTCGTCAGCCCAAGCCCAGCAGCAAGCATTCACAACCTGTCGAGGATGGAGAGAATGAACAACAGCCAATTCCGGCTATCGTACAAACGCCGCAAAAGTCGTGGTCACAGAGTACAATTCAAAATGCATTTGACCGCATGCGTCCCATGCGTACCCCGATCCAACAAGCCACGATAACTGTGGGCGACACGACGACTGTTTCTACAATCGGCACCAGAAGTCAATCGATAGCCTCTAAACGAGCTAGGATACACACGCCAAAGTTCTCTCTTTCTGGCAAGCCATTGGATCAGACACCGAAGAGAAGTCTATTCAAGAACGGTCTAGGTGGCTTTGCGGCACCGGGTACCCAAGCAGAAAGTAGCGACGAGGATGATCAAGATGATGAGGAGGACAGAGAAGAAGAAGAGGATGGCAATGAAGTCACTCAGGACAGTAACATGTCTGATGCACCTATACGCTCTCCATCTCCAATCAAGCGCTTGCCATCTCGAGGATTTGAAAAGCCCCAAACTGATGACATCACAGTCTCTCCCAGCACCCCAGCGCCCGACTTAGAAATTGTTTCGGAACAAGATCAAGTAGCGGAATCAACACTAGAGGCCGAAGCCGAGGCTCAAGCAGAAGCGGAAAACACAGATGACGACTACATCGAGGACTCCGAGAAGAAGCAAAGAGAAGAAACGAAGATTGCGCAGCTCATCGCTGAAGCCGAAGAAGCCGCTTCCCGACCCACTGACATGAACTTGAAGCGGGCCAACAAATTATTCAAAGGCAGTCAGAAGAAGTACTGGACCATCAATCTTGAGCGCGTTGTCGAGACGGATGTTGATGCTATTGCTCGGCATATACAGAACATACAAGCGTCTATCGATGCCTCTATGCCAGGAACCGATGAGGTGGCTGCGCTTCCAACAAGTACTCGGCTGAACCAGGAAGACCCCGAAGAACAACTTAGTCTTACAGTAACCAAGGCTGACTTCAATGAGATGCGCATCATTGGTCAGTTTAATCTAGGCTTCATCATCGCCGTACGACCACCTACTTCTACGTCGCCAACATCAGATGTGTTTATTATCGACCAGCATGCGAGCGACGAGAAATACAATTTCGAGCGTCTGTCTGCGACGACAACGCTGGTGCCACAGAAACTCGTACATCCACATCCTCTCGAACTCACTGCTGTGGAAAGAGAGATCATTCGGGAGAATAAGCACTCGCTAACCGCTAACGGGTTCGTCGTCGATTTGGAAACCATAGACGAGAATGAAGCGGATCATCATGCGCAGCTAGTCTCGCTGCCCATGTCGAAGGAAGTAACATTTACACCCACGGATTTAGAGGAGCTCTTAGCGCTCATTCTAGAGAACCCACCGTCATCCTCTACTTCCACATCGCGGCACATACCACGCCCTTCCAAAGTCAGGAAGCTACTAGCAAGCCGCGCCTGCAGGAGTTCCGTGATGATTGGTAAGACTCTTCAGCCGCCCCGGATGAGAGAGATTGTTCGACACATGGGCAGTATGGACAAACCCTGGTCTTGCCCCCATGGTCGGCCTACCATGCGCCATCTTTTCGGTCTGGAGAAGTGGCAAGGCTGGACCGAAGGAGACGGTGTGACAGGGGTTAACGTACAGGGAGCGAAGACCGATTGGAATGCCTTCCTGAAGAATAATACGGGATGAAACCTGCTTCATGCACATTAGAGCCAGAATATCCTTGTCTCTTCCTTGCGACGCGTTAGGATTTTGGCATCTCGGCTTGACAGATTTTGATGGTCACGAATGGCCTGTATTGTTGTACCATTAGTAGAGACAATAGTTTTCGTATTGACCTGGGCACGGTTTCTCCAATTCCGTATTCTTACAATCAGAATAAAGTCACATTCCAGAGCGTACTGCCAATCCAGGTCGTGGCTACTCTTCTAGATGCCGTAATTGTCGGACACATGATTACAGCATTGGAAACAACATTTCTCAAGAACAGAGAATGGAGAACATAGAAGTAGGGGTGGGAACCGTGTAGAGAGCATATTGCCAAACATGGCGGTGTTCAATCACGCATCTGAAGCCGTTCGCTCGCGGTTTGCTTAACAGCACCGTGATGAACTGGCTGGTGTATGATGAAAACATACTTGCTATATCAATAATTTTCCAGCACACCGCATATAATAGCAAACACACATCTACACTTCCTTGCTATATACAAGGTAGAAATATCATTCCAAAGCTGTTAGACTCCTTACGGCATACCTCTCGACTCTTCTAGCCATTCCAGCTTCTCTCATTACACATCTGTTCTCTTGTTTGATACCAACCGCTTTCTACAAACATGATTCAGGAGAATACCATATGGCTTATCGCAGGTTTTATGGTTCTGTCGATCTACCTAAATGGCATTCTAATTCAGATGGGTTTCCCTGATCCGTTTGCAGATCCGGATGTGTGGGATGACAGACCCCAAGGACCGAATATAAATGATTATCATGATGAAGATCAACCAGAAGCTGAAAAAAAAGAACAATAGTCTGGAATGATGGGCAAGCCTGGCTATGTTTCTATGAATCTGATAAAAGGCTTCGTAGCGCCGGCTTTGCCTAAAGATTGTGACGTACGAGATGTTGGTAGTGATGATGATCACGCGTTGTTGCGATTGCCAGCACGGCGTCTCGCCAGCGGTGTAGCTTGCTGCGGCACGGCTCTGTTCAAAACAAATCACAGTTTATTGAGGACTTTATCTGGCTCTCCTTGTTTCCCATGCGCCAATTATCAATCCAGTTATTCTGTCTA